AAAATAAGTAGACAAAAATCATAATTATAAATATTACGTATAAAATCATCTTTATAAAGTCATCATCAGTGCAGGTCACCATATGTGTGTCTCCATTAAATCAGACCAAATATGCCAGCTTGAAAAAGTGTGTTTTCAGACAGGATTTGAAAGTGGAAATGGAGTCAATATTATGAATGTTGTAGGGGAGAGTTCCAGAAGCGGGGGCAGAACATTCTGGGAGTACAAGCGACACAATGTGAAGTGACACAATTTAAGCAGAAACTGTAAGCACGATGGCAATGAAAAATAGAAGATATACTTTATTAATCTCCTGAGGGTTTTTTCACTCTGTTATCATATACACACAGGCCAGAAATACACACACATGCACAATCAAGACCTGTACATGCATTAAGTGGAGAGGTGTCAAGGAGGGGGGGCTGCCTATGGACAGGTACACCAAGCAGTTGGGGGTTTCGGTGCCTTGCTGAAGACTCTCCGGTTCCCAACCCAAGTCCTTATGTACTGAGCTACTGCCGCCCCAAAAGGGACAGATGCAGGTGCCTCCAATAGGGGGTTACATGCAAATTGTGCAGTCCTCTAATATAGTGGTCCAGGGACCCCCAGGGGTCCTTGAGGGAGTTTCAAGGGGTCCCCAGAAAAATGGAAAATAGTTTGTTTTCACTATTTAACTACAGAAGTGAGCCCAGTGTGAGTAAAAGTCAAGAGTGACTACTCTGATTCAATTCCTCCACTGTAACTACTTTAGAATTTCAATCTTAATCATATCTAACAACCAAAATATTTTTTTCAGATGGAGCGCCCTGAAGCTAAATCTAAAAGCCATGACCTGATAGGTGTCAATTAAGGGGTCCTTGGCACAAAAAAGGTTGAGAGCCACTGCTGTACTAGCTATATATAGCATGCAAGCCACCTCACAACTTTTGTATAGACGATTTATCTATGTCAAAGTTGTGAAGTGGCAAAAATGGTTGTTGCAAAGTTCTAGTTACACCAGGTGATCAAAATGTTTAAAAGTTATTGTCCCTTTGATGGCCACTGACTCTGAGTTGGATTCACAGTAATGACCTTGCTTGTGACCTATTATTTCAATTGATGCATTAAAGGAGCTCTAGCCAAATATTTTTATTTTCTGTTTCAAAGTGCCAGGCATGTTTATGTTGGTGCCTGCGTGTGCTGTTAACCTCAAAGTAAATTAAAGTGCTACACCTATGATCCATATGTTTCTCAGTGTGCCTCTGATTGCTGAGGAGCTGACACAGAGGTCAGAGTTCACACAGGCTCAGAAAAGCATGGAGCTCCCATGGCCTGACAGATTATATTTGCAAAATATAAGACTAAATTTGAACCTTTTTTCCTCAGATACTCTTAAAAACTATCCAATATTTGTCAATAAAAATCAATTACAGTAAATAAATGGTGGCGAATATGGGTACCGAGCTTCTACAGGTGACAAAGGAAGGACACAAAATTGTGTGAACTTGCTTTCTAAATATTGGTGAGGCAACAGAAGCAGCAGCAGGGGCACTGGTTGGGAAGCAGTTACCTTGCATTTCAGGCGGTAATGTATACCTAAAAATATTTCTATTGTTGTGTTATTTACTCAGCTCCAAATTAGGTATGCACATTTGGTGTTGACCTGGTGTCCACACCACATTATGAACTGTAAAATCTAAAACAAATATAACATTGGCTGGAAACCAAGAGAACAAGTTCCAATAAACTTTAAAACATTAGAAACAAAATTAGAAAGTCAGGAAGTCATCACAGCAAGAACTGATTAAACTGCTGCAACTTATTTTTGGTGAGTATCAATACCACAAGTGAGCACCAGAGGTCAGCACAACATCATGATACTGCCAGGCTGGTGACATCTGCAATAACCAATAGGATTTTCCCAGTGTTTCAAGAGTGTCTGGATGCCCGTATTAGGAAGCTACATGCAAACTGTGCAGTCCTCGAATGCAGTGGTTCCAAACCGGCGGTCCAGGGATCTATATAGGGTACAGATATTGCACAGTGTAGCACACAGATGTTGCACCTGATGATTGTAAACTTTTTTTTTCTTTTTTCTTTTTTTTTTAAAAGCAAGATATAATAAATAGACCAGCTGAATGTCTGGATTCACATTACTGCATGTGCCAAGTGAAGTAATAATGATTGATTGTCAGTAGTCCGTTCTCGTACGTGTGGTCTGCTAGGAGCAGTGTTGGATGTACAGTCTGACAACAGTAGGAATGACGGACCTGCGGTATCTCTCCTTCACACAGTGGGTAAAGCAGTCTGTCACTGTAGGAGCTGCCCACTGCTGTCAGAGTGTCCTGCATGAGGTGGGACATGTTGTCCATAAAGGATCATAGCTTTTTTCTCACACCACCACCACAGGGTCGAGGGATCATCCCAGGACAGAGCTGGCTTTTATCTTTTGAGTCTCTTCCTGTCAGCTGTCGAGATGCTGCTGCCCCAGCTTACAACTTCATGGAAGATGGCTGATGCCACCACAGAGTCAAAAAGATCCTTAAGAGTGCCCCCTGTACTCAAAAAGACCTGGGACTGGTTTCACAAAACTCTATGACACTATTTTTCCTTGCACAGACTCCATTAATATGGTTTCTTAGTTAAGGGAAACGTGAACTCATTTACTGTGTTGAAAGAGATTTTACAGTGCTAAAAGTTTCCATGGAGATTGTTGGTTTGTTTGGACTCACGCTTGTGATGCCTGTTATTGTCTCACAAAGTTAGCTCATAGTTAAAGTGAAAAAAAAAGCAGAAGAAAAGAAGACAAGAAAACCACATTGGTCAGAGGAGGAAAAAGTTTACACTTGTGGAAGAATACAGTCATAAGCAGCACAAACTGCAAAATAAATTTGATCCCCAAATACCAGAAAATGATTGTAGGAAAAAATTGTGACGAAAATTAATCCTGTCACATCTAAAGTGTAAAATCAAAATTGTATCCATTGGGTTCTCCTGGTCGCAGAATACTCTTCTGGAGGTGTGCTAGTTTTTTCATTTATCACCATAAACTCAGCCATGTTGCAGTTAAGATAGAGTCAGAGTTACCTTAAGTGCTTTGTGCTAAGATCTTTTGTGCAACAGTCTAGGGATTCCTTAAGAATAAGACAAAGACAAGGAGAAAACCACGAATACTTAAGTGAACATTTTAAGGAAACCTTAAGGAGAAGACTTAAAGGGATAGTGCACCCAAAAATGAAAATTCAGGCATTATCTACTCACCCATATGCCGAGGGAGGCTCAGGTGAAGTTTTAGAGTCCTCACATCCCTTGCGGAGATCCAAGGGGAGAGGGGGTAGCAACACAACTCCACCTAATGGAGGCTTACGGCGCCCCAGATTCAAACGTCAACAATGAACTTTTGTCGGTGGCAGTTGGTGGTGACTTGCCTAACGTTTTCAAAAACTTTTTAAAGTCTTCCTCAGACATTCACACACAGTCCACAAGACACTCTGAGGACTTTTATCTTCCATATTGTCGGACTCTTAATCATTGAAATACAGAAGACAGTCTCTTTGGAACAACCTACCTTAATCTTCACAATCATCATCTACATTAGTGTTACTAAAAAACATCTGAAAAGGACTCTTCATTCCAACACTTTATTGATTCATTTGCAATTTGAGATGTGACACAGTCCCTCCAAATTGGCCCAACCAGCCCCTTGGCTCATGGACTATTTAATCTATCTCTTATCTATAGATTAGTTTATTACTTTGTTGACCATGTGTCCTGATATCAGCGAGCTCCAGGGGTCACATTTTGGCTTCACTTCTTTCCCTGTTAAGTTTTCCATGTGCTCACTGAAAGGATCCTCTCACAGTGAAATACATATAACTTGGCTGAAGTATTAGGAATCCTGTTATTGCCCTTACGCCCCTCAGGGCGAGTTAAATTAAGCAGAAAACTTCCCCATAAGAGTTAATGAAGTATGACAAAAAACGGAGCTAAAATCTTTCATTTGCAGTCCGCGAATAATTACACAAAAGCAGGATTGTGGAAATCCAGGCTTACTCCCTTTGTACTGGATTACAATTAACCCCAGTGTAATCACCACTGTTATCCAATTACATGCATTCTGTGATTCCACACCCTGCACATTGTTCATTAATAGTCTCCAGTCTTCCTGATTGTGAGGAGGACACGGTGTCTGAGAGGAGTGTGAACCTGTCCCCGGCTCATCCTCCTCAATATTTCCTCTAATCTAACTTTAATTGCTTGGCCTCAACTTTCAACTTCACTTTTAAAGATTTATTTCCTGAACTGCTTGAGAGCAGTTCTGCTCCAGTGGCTCCACACGCTGCCCGCAGGGGCTCTGACGATGGTAGTTTCTTGATGAGGTGCTTACTCACCCAAATCAATTCTTCCCCCCTTTCTTCACGTCTCTTTTCTCCTTCTGTCATTGTCTCCTGCAAGGCCTGACGCATCCTCCGATATGCATCCTTTCTGTCTTAAGTGAAGCTTTACAATGCCTGCAAGACATGGCATGAGTAATAGCCAGCTTTCTCTGCATGCGTGAGGAAATGTCTCCGGAAACAAAAAGAGACATAACGAAAAAGTAAGCGACAAAGTGGCAGCGGTGCTGGAGCTCAGGGGTGAAGTCATTACAGTCGGCATGTGAGAACAGGAGCAGGGTCTGTCTCTGGAGCCAGCTAATTGAGCTCAGATGAGTGGGAGTAGACACAGGTAGCACTGTGTTTGAGTGTGTTGTTCCCCTTTCTTCCGTGTGGATGACTACGAACAAAAAGGCAGACTCTTTGCCTTAATCAAGCTAATGGAGTGGGAACAAGCTGTTAGGTGAGCTAGATGGGCAGCGACAGGTAGAAGGGCCTCCGGGGGATTTGGGGAGTCAGGGGAAGGGAGAGACTGAGGTGAGGACTTCAGCTTCTGATTGGCAGGACACATGATGATAAAAAGCCCTGGCTTGTGCTGTCAGATCCATTAGCAGGTGGTTCAGGTCTGAGGAGCACACACTGACAAGTACTGAGGTTCATGTTCGCCGTCCACGCTGACAAAGAGTGACTTCAGAGCTGATAATACTGGCCTGAACTGTGAGAACAGCTGCTTGTTTCCAGCACTTAAACTTCTGTGCTTCACTGTATTGAGTGTATATTCAGTAGTCAACGCTTTGATCCTTGTGTTTGGCTGCTGGACAGCAACTGTGAGTCATAGCTGAGATGATCCTGCAAAGGAAGAAGTCACAATGGTGAGTGAATTCAGTTTTACTGCTCTCTACAGAGTCCTGGTTACATTGATTAAAACCTCACCACAAGGTCAGTTTAGTAGCTGTTCTGGACCTTTTGATCGTTATCACCTGAGCTTCTAACACATTCTGTCTCCGACCTCGTCACATATCAATGTTTGGTCACGGACTTTCCATGCTCAGATACAATGTGCAAGGTACCCTGGGTGCATTGGTTGTTGACATCAAGTTCAGCCTGTTACATACAGTCTCTTTTAATATAAACGTGCTACGTCAGAACAAGAATGTGAATTGACTTTTTTCCCTCCAAAAACTAACGCACGTGGTTGGGTTTAGGAAACAAGAACAGGGTTTGACTTTATAATCTTACGGGACGCGAACACCACTCTCCCGGGTGAAAGTTGGTGTTTGCTGGACCCATCCGCCAGCCCTACTCAGACTTTCGCTGCCTTAACTATCATTCTTGTCCCATCATGTTTCCCCCTATGCCACCAAGCGCCATTACACCATAACGGCGACCAAGTCATTGCCCAAGCGCTAGATTTTGACAACTGTGGAGTGAGAGCAGGTTGGATCCTCAGCAGTAGATGACGTTTTTTCATGGAACATGATATTTTTGTGAGAAATGTGATCGACAGCTACTAAATGGCCCCTTGTGGTGAGAGTTTTTTCCCCAAATGCTGTTTCCAAGGTCACCAATAACCTTTGACCCAGGTGCAAAGCAAGATGTTGTAAACATCTGGGGCTCAGCCCACATCTAGGGGGTTCTGGGGCATGTTTCCCCACTGAGATTTTTCTTCCTCATTTACAGCAGCTATATACATAATTTTCAAGCCATTTGAGATGATAGAATATCTAAAAATCATATGTGAAAAACATGATAGTTGCCAAGAAAAGAATGATCCTGTAAAGCTGTTATCCTATGTCGTATCTAATTGTTCTCCAGCTGTCATCATCATTCATCATGAGTAGGGTTGCAACAGTATGAGATTTTCACTGTACGATAACCATCTCAGAAAATATTGCAGTTTCATGGTATCACTGTATTACAGAATTGATATTATCATCAATTAGAATGAACCTTAAAGGAATGAAAACAGAACCTAGCTGGCACACAAACAACCTTCAATGTTGAAATTATGTCAGTTGTTGTTTCAACATTAAAAAAAAAACATTGAAACAACGTTTAATTCTAATGGATGTAAAAAGGTTGACAAAAGTCTCAACATTGAAATTTCAGAAAGATCTGTTTCAACATTGAAACAATATTGAAACAACGTTAACAGTTTATGAAACAACATTGAAACAACATTGATTTTATATCAAAATCAAACATAACTTAACAGTGAGTCAGACATTGCATCTAATGTTGATTCAGCAGTGAGTAATCATTAGAATGGCAGCTGGGAAGGGTCATTTTTGGTTAAACAAACATTTTATAACTATAATTGAAACTTGAAACCATTTTGTTGATTTAATGGAGGCATGTGTAAAAAGTCTCCCCTTTGAAAATATCTAAAATAAAGGGGAGATTCTCCGTCCAGCTGCATTTGCGATATTGTACGATAATGGTCAACTTTTATATCATTGTATACCTTGAAACCAGTGTATTGCTGCAACCCCACAAATGAGAGGCAACATTTTTTTGGTGTTACTATTCTTAAGTAGGAATTTGGTGTACACAGCATTAATGATCTTGTAACCTATTTTTATTACACTGTGCTGGAGTTCACAGGATGAATGTTGAGTTGACGAATCTTCTACTTAAGTACTTGTACAAAAACATAAATTAATAAATATAAATATGAACATCTTCATTTTTATACATCAGTGTTGTAGGCCTAAAACAGTTCTTCTCCAACTGTGAGAATGTGAAGCCTCTATACCAAATAAAAATTGTTTTCAAAACATTTCAACCACTAAAATGTGTGAAACACATCTGTTGCTTGGCACCTTGTCCTTGAAATTATGCTGAACCTCAATAGCAGTAGCTGGTCTTGAGTCTTCCTAGCTGCTTAGCAATGGAAGCCAGTGGGTGTTTTACTTTGTGGTGGTTTAAGAAATCTGTAAAACGGATCTAAAACTTTTAGATTTTGAAGCCCCAACGAAGATCTGCAGTGGTTGAAACATGTTGGCTCTTAATGATTTAGCTACCTCAGTAAAGGCTGTTTAATACCTCCTGTCTCATTTTCTACTTTTTTGGAGTGCCTGGATTATCTTTCTGTGTATCCTGTTGTTTCCTGTTCTTCATGAGCACCTGACACAAGGTTTTGATCACGCTTAATTCTGCAGAACAACCAGTCGTCTTGCTCTTTTTCAAAAAAATAAATATATTGGTTGTCAGTCATATTGGCAGAAATTGGCATGTTGGACAATTCTGATATTTTATTTTAAGCCGATATTGGCTGATATTGTTGTCCATCCCTTAATATTACTGACTACTTATTTTCTTTTAGTCCCAGACCCCAAGCTCATTGGGATTCAGTCTTTGCCCTGCTTTAGTGTCCTTGAGCAAGATACCTTTCTGGCTTCTTCTGCACCTGTTCTTTTAACCTGGAGCTTATAAAGCTTCTCATTTAAATCCATCTTTTCTTCAACTATGAAAACACAACGTGTAAAAAGACGCTTTTGTTGCTGCTTCCCAGCCTCAGGAGGCCTGGACTGCTCCTGTGCTGGTTCCTGCTCTGGATGTCTCTGCAGCCACACTCTCCCCACCTGGCGTCAGCCGTCAACCTGCGGCGCTTCATTGGCTGCGCCGTGCGGGAGTTCACCTTCCTGGCCAGGAAGCCTGGCTGCGGGGGGCTGCACATCACCACGGACGCCTGCTGGGGGCGCTGTGAGACCTGGGAGGTGAGCGGCTGGGAGACGGCTACTGTACTGTACACACAGAGAGGAGGAGAGGAGTGTAAATGTGAGAGGTGACGTAAACAAAGCTGACAACTTTACACAGAAGACAACAGTTTGCTGTTTCCATCAGGCTACATTTAAAGAATGAGGAGAAGAAGAAAAAGATGGATTAAATGCAGATTCAGCCAGCCAGATGAATACACCGAGACAGACAGCCAGACAAACACTATAGATACAGAGACAGAGAGAAGTGATCCCCATGGAGAAAATTTGTTTTCGCTTCCCTCCCTCCACAGAGAGGTCAGTGCAAGGTCGGCTGCGAGTGCAGGCAGGATCCAGCTGCAGGCGGATACAGTAGATAGACGGACACATATCAGAACAGATAGAGACACATATGCACGTCAGCTGTCAAAGGAAAAACAAGTTCTGTGTTTATAATAAGTGACTCAGATCTCATTTTTGTCACATAGTAATGAGCGGCTGTGTGAAGTATAAATCTTGCATGAGAATGGAGGAGGACAGGAGGCTTCTGGAGCAGCGAGCACTGAAATTGAGTTAACGTTCTGCAAGAATGGAAAGCAGCGTGGAATCCTGAGATTGAAGTGACAGCAGCAGTTTCCTTAACAATGCCTCAAGTGCATAAATGACACAATTGGATTTCATAAGTCGCCGCATACTGATTACAAAAAAATGCGTTGAAATCTCAACTTTCATCTGGTACATTGTGCTCAGTGACAGGAGGCATTAGGAGGCTCATGACTCTCTCTGCTTTATTATTGCAGTGCGGCTGGTGTGCGTGCACGAGGCCTGAGCTTTGTTCTGTGATACTCTTTGGATCCCCTCGGGGAGGAGACTCATCTTTGTGTCTGCTCTCCCCCACAGGGAGGTCAGAACGCAGTGGATGTCCTGCTTTAGGGCCAGTCTGTAGGACAGACAGTTAGGGGGTCAGGGGGTCACAGGACAGTCTCTAATTACAGCCTTACCTTCTGTGCATTCAAGCTATGATGGAGGATTTTTAATAACTGCATCAGCAGAATAAGATTAAATTCCTGGAACACAAACACTACTAGCAATTAACAGAAGCTTTGCTGATGTGACACAAACATCCCTTCAAACACAGCTTCATAACAAAATGGAGGTTCACCAGCATATTAAAACAAGAAGCTAATAAGGTGGATTTGTTTCTGGTTACTGTGACATAGGAAACTGTAGGTTGGTTTGAAGCTGGAAAAAATTAACAAAGGTTCTTCTTGGTAAAGTTTTTGACCATAAGTGGTGCTGGAGAGAAATGTTCTAATGAGTGGGTCCTCCTATTGTGTATATGTTGTGCTCTTAAGGCACTTGAGCCTGTATGTACATGCCATGCCTTGAGGTGATTTGACAATGCAGAGGGCGGTACTGAATATCAACAGGTGGTGGATGTAATGAGCTGTAAAGGCCACTAAAAAAGGAGAAGAACAGGACTGCAAAATGACTTGAACACTTCCAGCCCATTCACATTTTCAGAGTGTCAAACACAGCAGCTTGGTCAGTAGCCTTTAGCATCACATTCTGACGCACAAGGCGCCCTTTAGCGTCTGTAGGAGACATACCACGCTTTCAACTAACTCCATTGTAAGCCTTCAGCGGCAATGACATACGGAGAGAGAGAGAAGTTCTGCGTAGGGTGTGAGGGTGGTGTTGTGAGGGGTCAAACAAACACCACCACATCATTTATATACACAGCATACGCACAAAACGAGGCCTGAAAGAGGCGTACGTCACTTCACATGCAAAAGTTGTGATGTATAAAAACAGACTTAATGGGAGAAACTTTGACCCATGCTTACGAACATTTTGGAGACAGGAAATTGGTGACACAGATGGTGAGGTGGAAGCCTGACTGTAGAAATATTTTTTGGCCCACGACATTTTTGGCTTTTGTTCGTACGTACATATTTAGTACGGATCCTACCCATTGTTTGATAAATGAGACCCCGGACTTCTTAATTTCACCTTCCCACAGTTTTTTACATTACAGTTAACATTATACGCCACATAATTTACTTATGTCACGTAACAAACGTACTTACCTGGCTTTTTTCTAAACCTAACCAAGTAGTTTTGTCGCCTAAACCTAAAGTAGTATTGGTGAGGAAACCTTTGTTTCCTGTGAACACGAAGTTTATTTCGAAAAGATACTGTAGCATGTGAAATTGACACGCTGTCCCAGAGTATTAAAAACTGATGCTAAAGGGGAACCTAGAGCGTCACAGTTTGAAGCATAGGGCCACTGACCAGGCTGCCGGAAAGTTGGGAGTGACAATATCTTTACAGTATGAGTTTCTCATGTTTTATGAGACAGGAATGCATTCATCATGTTTGCTAGTTCTTAAGGATGTGGATTTATCGTAAGTGCGATATCGTAGGCAACTGGACTTGTTTGCGTTTCTTGAAGATGTTTCGCCTCTCAAGCTAAACGCAAGCAAGTCCAGTTGCCTATGATATCGCACTTACGATTACCATGACCTGGATGACTGAGAATCTTCACCAACACGATGTGGATTTATGTTCCAATTTTAAGGTTGTACCACATCCTACATATTGATGGAAATATTAATGAGTCTTTGAGAAAAAAAAATAGCAAACAAACCCTCTTGACTTTAACTTAAGTTTGACTGAACTGGCATTGTTAGATTGGTATTGGAACCAGCTGGTGGTAAAATTTAACATGAAGCCAGCAAAAGCTCAAACTCTCTCTAGATGAATTAGCTATTTTGCATAACTAAGATGTTGCTAATTAGAGCAACAAGCTGACAATAGTTTTCCATCACCTGAAAGCCCCCTGTAGAAAATAATGACACAGTCAGAGCTAACCTCCAAAGTGAACATCATCAAATATTTTTATATTACTCATAATCACCATTTTAGGAGAAAAGTTATGAAGATGATTGTTTTTTTTTTTATCTGTTTGTATTTCCAGAAGCCCGTCCTCGACCCTCCCTTCATTGAGTCCTACCAGCGTGTTTGCACCTACAATGAGACCCGTCTGGTGACTGTGAAACTGCCCAACTGCCTGCCAAACGTCGACGCCACGTACACCTACCCTGTGGCCCTGAGATGTGACTGCGGCGTCTGTCTGACCAGCACCACTGAATGTATAACGTCTGTCTAACACAAGTCACAACAGGCAGGATATACTTTTTTAAATTGTGCTTTTCATCATAATCTACAGTTATGTCATATATCATTAGTTGAGTGAAATGTTCGAGGGTAAATCAGGTTTTTCTGCCATGTATGGACAATTAAAAAAAGAACAAGGTGAGAAGGCAGCTAATAAAAGTCTTCTGCTCCTGCTAGCAGCTGAGAAATGTAATCATTGCTCTGTTATCTAAATTTACTAGTTAGCACTGCTAATCTTCAAAATTCAAAATATAGGCTATACTTATTCTGCTGATGTTTGTTTATAAAATAAAATACTTGTTTGTTTTTTTTACACTGTTTGGATTCAAATTGCTCTTAAAGGGATAGTGCACCCAAAAATGAAAATTCAGCCATTATCTACTCACCCATATGCCGAGGGAGGCTCAGGTGAAGTTTTAGAGTCCTCACAACACTTGCGGAAATCCAAGGGGAGAGGAGGTAGCAACACAACTCCACCTAATGGAGGCTGACGGCGCCCCAGATTCAAACGTCCAAAAAAACATAATTGAAACCACAAAATATCTCCATACTGCTCGTCCGTAGTGATCCAAGTGTCCTGAAGCCCCGATATAAAAAGTTTTTTGGAAAAACATCATTTTGAACTCTGTTTTTAGCCTCATTGTAGCCTGTAGCTCTAACAGCCTCTCTGCAGACCGTGCTCACATGTGTGCACAAGTGTTGTGAGGATTTTGAAACTTCACCTGAGCCTCCCTCGACATATGGGTGAGTAGATAATGGCTGAATTTTCATTTTTGGGTGCACTATCCCTTATAAAAGGTTCTATGACAAAAATGTAATGTGCCGAAAAGAACAGGTAAACTTGAGTATGTACTCCTGCTTTTTTCTACTTCTATATTCACTTTTAAGAAATGTGACAATGCCTTTTTTGGTTTTGTTTTGTCTTGTAAAAGATTGTTTGGTAAATTTAAAAAGAAATCTAAGCTCTGAGAGGCAAGGGAGAAAAAACATGTGGTGATCCATTTCCTGAATCTGACCTAGAGTGTTTATTCTCCTGTGTTTTTGACTGAAGAACTGTTTTTTTTCTTTTAAGGCTTTGCTGGAATGATCTTTCACAGTTCCACAATTTTTGCAGATGAATAGTTTTTTTGTCGTGATAGTGGGCTATTAATGTCGGCCACAAGAGGCTGAGCTGCACCTCTAACCCATGTTCTAAATAAGATTAAAAGAATTAATGTTTTCCTCCAGGTGAGTTTTAATTTCTACATGCACTCTAAACACAAATATTGTGTGTTAGCAACTTTTTTACTCACTAGCTAATGAGCTAACAGGCTAACAGCTAATGGCAGAATAGCTAATGCTAACAGAAGATAAATGTCGATTAAAATACATGTCTAGCCAAAAGAAAGACATGACAGTAATGCAACATAACTTGCTCACACACAGTGCAGTGTGTTTAGAGTGTTTCGAGAAAAACAACAAGAACAAAACTTGGAAAAAAAAGACAAATGCTTTTAGCTTTATTTAGAAAATGGGGTAGTGGTGCACATGGCCTAAAACAAACAAACAAAATCATGATGTATTTTTCCATCTTCTCTGGAGTCCATAAGGAGACAGAAAAATAAATGGGTGAAAAACAAAGATAAATACTGTTGTGTTGCACATTTGCTGATTTGTGGTGATGTGTGCAGTGAACCATCGAGACACATCCTGAGTTGGGATAAAACTTTCTGTTTTCCAAGCTCGTTTTCACATTTAAGAGTGGCAGAGCTGTGTCAGAGCTACGAGACCAGTGATGTGAGAGAAGATTTAGAATTCACCACACCTGCTGACAGAGGCGGCCTTTGGAATCAGGGGGCCCGTTTCAATACTTAATATGGGGCCCTACCACGTAAAACATAAACATAATTATGTTTGCCAGCTACGCGTCCTGCGTCCGTGACGCATTATAAGCTGAAAGAACGCAGTAAAGTCATCCATGCGTCCCAAGGACGCACATATTTTCCCATGTAAAACGATACATTGTGACCAAGTGTTAAAATCATAACCAGGGCAAGAAACCGGGACTCAGCAGAAAAGGCGAGGATTCAGGTTGGTTTGCAACAAATAAGGATATGGATACTTTATTGTCCCTTACAATCCCCTCAAATTAAATTAACAACAAAAATAATGAGTGCTCCGCATTATTTTTGTCCAGTTGTGGTCAGAGCACTCTCTCGGTCAGAGAAACGGAAATAAAAGAGAAACAACTTTCTACAGATTTGTTTTCAAAATTCAGCCAAAAAATCAAAAATTCAAAATTCTCAACTTAAATTAACAACAAAAATAATGAGTGCTCCGCGTCATTTCAGCACCATGGACAGCTCACTACCTGCATGAAAAGACAGAGACAGACGGAGGAAAAAAAGAAAGGTTTCGTTCTGCAAGGTGACAGACTATTGCAATTATCCTTTTCATGACGTCGTTCCAGTGTTTCTTCTCCAGCATTTGTATTTCTTGGTATGTTTTGTCAATGGCACTGTGCGTTCTTACGCGCGTCTCCAGCTCGCGCCAGCTGTCCATGTTGGAACGGTGTGCATTTGATTTCTCATGATCCTGGAGTGTGAGAGTGAGTCGTTCCCACATTCTGAAACCCCCGTCAGTGAGACTGTGATTTCGCTTGCCAAATAGGGTACAGCAGAAACAGAAAACTGAATCTGATGATTTTGAATACACTAACCATGACCTGCGTATTTTTTCTCCATTTTTCATCCTTATGAAATATCTGTCATTAGTAAAACGGCGGCGTGTTTGGCTCTGTGGGAAGTTAAAGTCCTCTATCTGAACGGGACCTCTCCGAACAATATCGATCCGTTGGTCACTGGTAATATGCTCTGGCCAACATGCCGGGTCTGTCTCTGTGAATGGCAGTGGGACTTTCTCCCTGGCTGCAGTGCTGGTGGTGGCATCTCCCTCACCTGTCTCAGTTGTGGGACTATCATCATGTGGTGCTTCAAACGATAATGTATGGTCATCATTATCACCAGCTGTTTCAGTAGAAAGGTCTTTATTTTCACCTTCTCCCGTATTTGTTGTTTGGCTGGCGTTATGTGAGTGGGTTGCAGCCGCTGCTGTAGTCGGTGCAGCTGTTATAGATGCAGGACCAAAGAAAGAGGTCACTTTTGGAAGACTACTCACAGCTTTCCTTTTGATGTCTGCTAGTTTTCGCTTTTCAGCACCACTCTGGTATGTGCGTTTCATTTTGTAACGTTAGGGATGTTAGCTAGCTAGTTAGCTGATGGCGGGCAGTGATTTATTATTGTGTCTTCCTTGTGGCATTTATTTTTTTGTCAGTCAGTTGGGGGCCCCCTGGTGGCCGGGGCCCATTTCAACTGAAACGGTTGAAACATAGGTAAGGCCGCCTATGCCTGTTGATCTCGGCTGTATTCACCTTCACCAAGCCCTTTGTCAACCAGAGGCACTAATGCATCAATAAACTGTATTTTAGAGTTAATTATGTAACTTTTACTGTTGTTTACCAAATTATTTCTTAACTAAAATAAGGAAATGACTATCCAAAAAAAAAAAAAAAACATGGTAGAAAACATGAAAGACATTTTCATCTTTTTTCATTCGAGTGCTTTTTCAGTAGCAAATGATCAGGGGCAGGTTTCATTCATTGGATCTTTATATCATTATGTTAATGACTAACGTTAATGGGATTCATTTCAATTCTCTCAGTGCTTCCCCCCATGAGGAGAAATTTGTCTTTCCTCGTAACACTGGTCTACAGAGAGGTCAAAGGTCAGGCTTGGCTGCAGGGACTCTGCAGTATACGACACTTCAGTAGGGCAGACGTTCACTGTCAGAGGGGTTCAGACCTTCACATCTTACAGTCATTCTTTTAAATTTCATAGATTCATTTTCTGTAACTGCTTATCCTGTTGGGGGTCATGGGGGAGCTGGAGCCTATCCCAGCTGTCATAGGGCGACTATCACAGGGCTGACACATAGATACAGACAACCATTCACACTCACATTCACACCTACGGACAATTTAGAGTCACCAATTAACCTGCATGTCTTTGGACTGTGGGAGGAAGCCGCAGTACATCCACCCCAGGTTTGAACAAAGACCCCTCTTGCTGTGAGGCGACATTGCTAACCACTGCACCACTGTGCCGCCATTTTGTTGTCTTTTTAAACCTTTAAACATTTTTCCTTCTAAACAAAGCAATCAGTGTTACAGTGATATTTGTAAGTGACTCTTAATTACGAGCCTTTCAAAGAACAATCATTGATGGGTGCCTAACAATGCGACCCCTCATTAGTGCCTAATTTACTGACCTGAGCTCTGAGGCCAAACTGGTTAGTCACCAGGCAGAAAAACAGAGTCCTGACTAAGTGTTGTTATTTGTATGACTCCCAAGGAGAGCAGGGTTTATGTAATCCCTGAGTGCTCACATGTCACCGAGGAGCTGCAGGGCTGTGTTTGAGCCCCAGCGCTCAGAGGGGAACTGAACACACTCCTCCCACCGTACAAACCCTCCCTGCTCCTCTCTCTGTCTCTGCTCGGCTTTGTTAACACTACGAGTCTTTATACTTCAGCTGTGCATGTATCTGATTTTATTCATGGGTGGCTATTGATATGTGCGCTATCATTAGGGCTGCTTATTTCAAATCTATGCACCAAAAATAAAGAAAAAAAGAACACCTGAAAGTTGATGTGTGTTTATTTTGAATATTTTCAATACTGAGTGAAAACTGCAGCTCAGTCACTAGAGGAAAATGTTTGCACTGTATGTTTCTGCAAACCACACGTGTTACATTTGCATGTGTCATATGGATCATATCAGTGTTTCTACAGTAATGTAGTGGATGAGCTGACTGTCAGCAGGAGGTGGAGGGGATGTGTATGGCACTGTACCGAGGCAAGACGCTTGCCAAGATGCAGACCACCGTTCAAGACCAACAGACAACAAAACTGGCTGTGTTTTAGTGAGTCATTGCTGTGTTTCCAGCTTTTTAGGCTCTATATGTAAATATGTTATAGCCACCTGTGTCTGTTTTTCTACTGGAGATAGTGGAACAAAAAGCGATTGTATTTTCTTGAAACATCACTGCTTTTTAGCTGGGGACTGTGCCCCCAAACCGAGTACTTAAAACCAAAACATGATCTTTTGTTGAAACATAAAGTTTCATAATAACATGCAAATGTTTGAAATGGGGATAGGGGTTAGCTAGCTAGCTATATACAGTAGCATACTCCCTGGAGATTTTGAAGGCTGCAACATTTTCTGTCCACTTTTCTTTTTTGAAGCAAACACTGTTGTAAATAGTGACTCTACAAGATGCCCAGCCTTTGCAATATC